TTTGGCTCTGTGTGAAGGACACATTAACAGACACCTTCTCTAATTGTCCACCTGGCACTGAGGCATCTCGACACTGACTCTGGGGCCATTTAACTCACTGGGAACACACTGTGACAGAGCAGACAGTGCGTGGGGTTGCCGAGGAGCCTGGATAGCTGGCTGCCAAAGGGGAAGCGATCTCCATCCCTCCCCTGCATGGAGCCACGGTGCTTGTCATGCGAAGCTGCGAGGTCTCGTGCTGCTGCTGAAGCTGCCCTTGTGTTTGGGAATGGTGGAGGGGGAACGAGGGGCTAACCTTCCATGTTGCTGGTGAGCATCTCTGCTCCAGCACTGGGGTATGCAGTGCAAAATAAACTCCTGTTCTGGCTCTGGTTTCTCCTCCCGTGTGGATGGAGCCCTGCAGGGCTGTGAGTGGCTGGGACTGGAGCAGCAGGCTGGGAACTGCTTGCTGGGGGTTTGCCCTCCTATTGCAGAGCTGTGCACTCCCTCAGTGGGAGGCAGGTGAGAGGCCGAGAGCTGAGCTGGACCTGGGGAGATGTCAGCTGCTGTTGGCCCAGAGGGTTCCTGGGTGCCGGCTGCGGTCAGCTGGGTGGTTGTGGTGGCCTTCGGTCACTTTGTGGCTGCTGAAGACCTGGGAGGAGGAGGGAGAGCAGGAAATCCCAGGGAGCGTAGGTTCTTTGGTGTGGTTTTCTTAATGAATCTTGCATTTGGTACGCTTGTGGCTGGGAGATGAAGGCGGAAGATGAGGTCCTCCGGGAAGAGGCAGAGCTGGCTCCACGGGAGAGCTGGTCTGTCCCTGAGCTCCAAGCTCTGAGCTGCTGCGTCCTGTGGGAGGAAGGGCACAAGCCTTGTCCCCAACTCACACCTCACCTGAAGAGGGTGGGGGCGAGGTGGAGGGGGAGGCATCTGCTCAGAACAGGGTGTGTTTCATCCATTTTGATATGTCCAGTCTCCATCTTGGATTGCACTGAGCTCCCTGCCGTGGTGTAGAGCCTTTCCCTCTGAGCAACAGCTCCAACGCTGCCTATGCTTTATAGACAGAAGGGAAGTGAGGTTTGTAGGAGGTTGTGAAGGACCAGGTATTTCCTCACACGAACATGAAATGCCCTTTAGGTCAGCAGACATAACAGACTTAAAGATGGCTGCTCCACATGGCACTGAACGGTAGAGGAGCCCTGGCCTGAAAAACGGCTGCAAGGGCGGGACTAGGTACCATCTGATTGGCTGAAAAACCCGGAAATACAAAACTGGCCAATCGGGAGCAAAGGAAACATATAAAGAGACAGCGTGGCGCGCCTTTACACTGAAAGTGCCGCTCCTCGCTTCTCGGCGCGTTTCTGCAGAGCCGCCGCTGCCGCTTGCCGAAGCCGCTCCTGCCGCTTTTGCCGCTTGCTTTGGGGGGGTGACCCGCGCCTCGGAGTGCCTGCCAGCCTGAGGTCCCCGGCTGCAGCCCGAGTCCCGGCTCACCTAGTCCTGGCTCTCGCCTCATTCCCGTTTGTGACAGAGGTGGTACTGTTCAATCAAACCAAATGACATTAAACAAAGCCCTTTTGCAGGTCTGAGGAATAATTAGCATCATTACATGGTTGGGAGAGTTTCCTCCCACCCTTTAGGAACAGGGATTTGGGCTGGGGTCCAGAGCATCCCCATCCTCTTCCCTTATGGCGTCCCCATGGCAGTCTGGACAGAACCTGCCTGCACCTGGCTGTGGCATTTCCTTCTCACTTTGCAGCTGGTGAGAAATCACAAATGATGGCACCTTTTCTGCCTGTCAGGGGCCTAAGGGTGAGCTGGGTCATGAAACGTGTGAAATGAGCTGCAGCAGCCTCCTGCCTGTGGTGCTGCCTGGCACAACAGATGCAGGGACCCTCCTTCCATGAGCTGAGCAAAAAAGTGGATCCTTGGAGCAGGGGATTTAGCAGAAGACCAGAGATTGACACAAGATAATGTTTATGGAGTTGCATGTGTTTGGCTGCCTTTGCTTTTAACAGAAATTCACAGTTGTGTTTTGTTGGGTTTTCAAGCTTTCCTGCCTTCCCGAGGGCTCGGGATTGGGCTCGTTCTCCCAAGCAAAAGCTGCGGTTGGCATCAAAGCGTTTGCTGCAGAGAGCTGGGTTTCTGGGAGGGGAGAGAGATGCTGAAAGGTGGGCGAGAAGATGGGTCAAGCCAGCAGGGCTGTGGATGCCAAGGCTCTGCTGTGTGCCGGGGCCCCTGCGTGTGGGTCAGAGCTGGCAGGGGCTTCTCTGCATTTCATCCCTTCCCCACTGCAGCTCTTACCTGAGCTTCTGCTGCCAGCCCTGCCCTGGCATCGCTGCTGTGCTGGCCAGTGCCAGTGCCCACCCTGTGCATTATCTATACAGCTACAGGACATTTTTGTCACCTTTGGCACTGTCCCCACTGCTGTGGATCGGCCAAAGGAGACCTTGGTGCAGCCACTGGCAAAGCGCAGCCTGGCAGCCTTGAGGATGGATGAGAGTTCACTTCTATCTGTGGCCCTTTGGTGAAGTCAAACAGCCTGTGCTCGGGGGGTGCAGTGACCCCCCCCCCCACCCCCATTGCAGGATGGGGAAATCGATGAAGAACTGGCCCTGCTGCTGCTGTCTTAGTGATTTAAAAATGTTACTTTTTAATTTGTTCTCATTTGGGTTTTCTTATTTTTTTCCTGTCTATTTTACTGTCTAGCATAGAAAATAAACCGCCTTTGGCTCCCAGGAGCTAATTCATCTAAGTTAAATGATCTTTAAAATCTGTTAGCGCATCATGGATCTTGCTTCCTGTTTTCTCGCAGTGTAATTAATGCTTCAGTTTAAATTTTCTCCTTTCCTTAGGGGCAAGGTTGATGGATCTGATGCCAGGCTAAAACTTTTGCTGAGCCATTAGAAAGAAATCAAACTAAAAGCAATCTAGTCCTTAATTCAGATTTTATTTTATTTTAAGTAACTTGTCTTTGGGAAGAAACTGATCTTGTTTATTATCATTATTTCTTTTCTCATCCAGCATCGAAGACATGTAGCCCTAAACAGTTTGCATGCAAAGATCAGATTACGTGCATATCTAAGGGCTGGCGCTGTGACGGGGAAAAGGATTGTCCGGATGGCTCGGATGAATCACCCGATATATGTATGTATGCCTTTCCTTCCTAATAATGTCCTGTTGGTTTTATTTTGTCCATTCTCTCACTGCATGCTGGTTCCAGGGTCCCAAACGGGCAGCTCCACACAACTGCTCTACCTCAGCCCCTGTTTCTTCCATAGCAGCAGGAGCGGCAGCACCACAGGGGGTGGGTGCCACTGGGCAGAAGCCCCAGCGTCTGGCTCTCCGTCCACCCTTTATCTCCCTAGCTGCTGCTTCCGGGGCCTCTGGATCTGGGGCTGTGATCCACTGTAACAGAACAGCCTCTTGAGAATGGGGTATCACTGATTTATGTTTTGTTTCCATCAAAATTGTTTTCCATGAGGAAGGTGGAGTCCTGGAGGTGAGGATGCAGTGAGCCGTGGCGCTGGGCAGGGGCTGCAGCTCTGGCACAGCTGCTCCCCTTCCTTGGGCCTTGCCTCCAGTGCTGGACGTTTAATGGGTGCTTGGAGTGAGGGCTGGGCTGGAGGGAAGGAGGGGATCTCGGGAGCCCTGGGGATCCGCAGGGAAAGCAATGTCACTCTCCTCATGTTTATTTGGATCCAGGGAGCTCCACAGGGATGGCAGATGAGCCAGTCCTGCTGTGCTGGGGCTCTGGTCCAGCTGGGCTGGAGTAAGGAACCACCTCCTCGTGTCCTGGTCTCTCCCTCCATGTTGCACTTGCAGGAGTGGCCTTGTTAGGTTGTTTTACTGTGTCAGGAAAGCAGCCTCTGAGGTGCTGGGCTGGGGGGACAGCCACAGCCAGGCTCATGCATGCAGCTGCTCACCAGTGACCAGCAAAATCCTCTCGTCCTCAGGCCCAGAGATTCTTCTGCTTCAAGCTGAACTTGTCCTAAAGGTTTCCTCCAAAGTGGTTTCTGGTTCAGCACTGGGATTATTTATTTCTAAAAGCAAAATGATGCAACCGTCCCCTTTGTGGGAGGGATGAGGGGGCTGGAATGGGCTGGCTGGCTTCAGTCAATCAACAGCCCTGGAAAATTACTGCAGGACGACTCAGAGGCCTTTCCCCACCTGGAAGAAATCCGTCCTGATTAATGCATTCCACTTTCTGTGTGTGTCTGCGCTGGCTTCCCTGCCCGCCCATCCATATGGACAGGTGAATGGAAAATGGACCCCTGGTGGGGCTGGCAGAGTCGTCCTGTGGACAGGGAAGGAAGAGCAGCCCCTGCCTGCTCTGGCTGCAGCTGCCCCAGTGGGAGCTGGGGAGCAGCGGCACGACTCAGTGCAGTGCTGGTGCACGTCTGGCTGGGTGCTGGTCTGTGCTGTTCCCACGGGCAGGGGGGTGCCTGCCTGCTCCTGCCTGGGCTCGCGTGAGTGGGTCCGACCTGTCAGCACATGCAGGGCGCCAAGCCCAGTATCTCCAGGACTGCCAGGAGAGCTTTTCTCACGCCACATCGGCACCGGGGCATCCAGCAGCCTCTCATCCTCCTTATCTGTTTGGCAGGGAGAGAATGACTTTTATTACTATTATTTAATCTCTTTTTTTAAGCCCAGACTGTGAACGCAGCTCTTGCACGCTGCTTGGCGCACCCTTTCGTACCTTCACAGCATGCAGGGTTATTTACATTGCACTAATGTACTCATGTCAGAGTCTCTTGAAACGCCGTCTATTATGTGCAAGGTTTTCCTCCCTGGGGAATCCTTTTAAGTATTTCCTGGCTTTGCTCACGTGTTAGCTGAGAGCAGGAAGAGTTCCCTTTCTGAGCTTGGTGCTGTGCTCGTGCCTGTGTGAGTGGCTTGCACCTGGTTCGTGCCCAGTTAGTCGTTTTTTCATTCCATGGAGCTGTCCTGGGGGAGAAAACTTGGACACAAGCCTCCATCCTGCTGAGAATCAAAGGAGATGAGGGTCTCTGAGAAATGAATTTGCCATGGCTGAGCTACAGCTGTCATCTGGAGGCTGTGCTCAGGCTGACCTCGTGCTTGGAGCCCTCCCGGCTCCGCCCGGGTCGGGTGTTTGCCTGCGGGTGCCACAGTCGGGTTCTCCAGCTGCTTCACTGTAGGTGAATCTGTGGGTCCGTGGCCTTCAGTCCACCTGGATGTTTGCGAGGATTCAGCATCAAACACTTCATCAAGGGCTCAGGAGGTGTCAGATCCCTTGTCTCAAAGCACTGGCCCAGTGCTGGCTCTGCGCATGGTGTGTAAAACCTTTGCTTTCCTCCTCCCACGGCACCGGCAGCGGGGCTGTCTGCTCCCAGCTCCTGCCTCTTTCCATGTCACGTTCCCCCACGTCTGTGTCTCTTTGGGCTGTTACCAAATCAACTAGAGGCTGCCTTTACAGGAGGAAGAATTGCTTTTCTTCTTTTTTTTTTCCAAGTGGTATTTAGAGGTTGAAAATTCCTGTGTAATTCAGGTCCTTGGGGTGTACCACAAGCTTGTCACATGTAATAAATTGGCTCATTTATTAGTGTGCCAACACAGTCAAAAGCAAACAAAGTGGCTTGTAGATTAATTCTGCCCTGTTTTTGATAAGTAGTTTGATCCAGGCTCTTTGCAGGGGAATAATGGACACAGCAGATCAGTTTTGACTGATGAACTGTGCACTTTTTTTCAGTGCCTTCATTCTTTTGGCCCGTATATTGATACTACTTAATTTACCCTTAATTTGCAATTACTCGGTGCCCAGATTGTGCTGCTGTTCAACCCTCTGTGAAAAACAAAAGCCATGAAGCAGTACCTGGTAAAAAATTATCCTGGGAATCATCTGCTGGGTGCCCTGGATTGGGGCTGGGCAAGAGGAGAAACCCAGGCTGCTCCTGCCTGGGAACCTTCTGCCCTTCTCCACAGGAACAGCGGTGTGAGGGGCTGTGGGGCAGCTTGTTGAAGGTTTCTTGCTGCACTTGAGTTCTGTGAAGGCTTTGGTGCCTTTGGGAAGGGCAGAGGAGAAAGCCGGCTGGCTCCATCTGCTCCTAGAGCAGCAATAGCCAGTGGGGCAGGAACTGTGTTGGATGAGGCTGTGCTGGTGCACAGATTGCTGGGCTGGACCCTGCAAGCTGGGTGTGATGTAATGCTCCTCTCCAGGGAAAATTTAAACTTATATTTAGGGCAAACTCCACCAGTGGAGTCTTAGATGAAGGTGACTGCTGGTCTCAATAGCTGTCTAAAATGGGACTGTGCCTGGACAAAGTGCTTGGCACATGATGTGCTGCAGGTGCCCTTCTTGGTGCTCACCTGGTGCTTCACCTGCTGTGAAGGATGGAGGGTCCACAGGGAGCTTTGGGAGCTATTTCTGCCACTGTCCCTGCTGCCAGCAGGGTGACATGCTGCCTGCCCTGCTGGTGTGAGGGCAAGGCGTAAACAGACACTGTCTCCCTGTAGAATGGGATTTGGGCATCTTGCTTGGCTGCTGTAGCTGACTCAGCAGAAGCGTGTGGGTGGCTCTGGTAAGAGCTGGTGAAATGGTGCATATTCAGCCCTAAAGAGAATCTTAGGTTTGGGACCATGGAGGAGAGAAGAGCCTGGGGAAGTGAGTCAGGCTTTGCACAGCTCTCTGGTCTGTGTGCTGTGCTGATGGGCTGCTGACACAGAACCAGTGTTGTGCAGGAGCTTGCCACGCTTCACCTCTGGGCAGCTGCCTTCCAGCCTGGGATGAAGCAGTCTTGGAAACAGGATATTGGTGGAGCTTGGATGTTAATCGATTTATGGTGTATTTTGTTGTTTGTCTCAATGCCATGCTTCTTTTCAGAGAAGCTTAAAAGTAAAGCTTTGCTTGCTTTGTAATTTTTCCAGTTAATAATGGAGATTAATCCTTGTGTCGTGTAGCCCTAGTTCTTACTGACCCCCCGCAAGCCTCTGAACAAAGAGTGTGTTGGCACCTGAGGGGGGTGCTTGGGGAGTGGGGGCTGGGGCGGCTGCGCCCAGGATGCTCAGGGGTGGGCTTATGTCCACTGATGTGGTCTCCAGGCCTGAGCAGAAGGTCCTCAGCAGCTCCAGGTCTTCATCTTCACACAATGCTCCTGCTCAGGATGTACACTGCAGAAGTGATGGGAAAGGGAAAGTTTGCTCCAGACTGGACAGCAGGAGCGGTCCCACCTGCTTTGAAAGGGAAATCCAGTGTCTGTTAAGGAGCTTCTTTCAAGGAGAGATAGGGATGTTGGAGGGAGCAGAGCCTGGTTTGAGCCTTTTCAGGCCTGGCACTGCTATGGAAGCTGAGAGGATTTGGGACAGGCCTTGCTAGGTGAGTGCTGCTTTGGCTCTGGAGTGTGTGCCAGGCAGGGGAATCCCAATCATCAAGGATTTAACATTCATCTGGGCAGAGGGAATCGAAGCATGTTCACACGTTGCTGTGTGGTGCTTGTCTGCTGCTGGCAAAAGAATTCTCACTAATGTCCTGCGCAGCATGAGGATCCCTGAACCCTTGTGTCTGCCTGAGGAGTTTTTATCTGAAATCTTGCTGTGTGAGGCCACATCCAGTGGATAATGGTCACTGTTGGAGAGCCACAGCAGAATAACGTGGGAGAGCGAGAGCTCCCTCCAGGTTTTGGGGTGTTTTGCAGAGATGTCTTTTGCTGTCTTGCAGGTCCTCAGAGCAAGGTGTCTCGATGCCAGCCCAATGAGCACAACTGCCTGGGAACAGAGCTGTGCATTCACATGAGCAAACTGTGCAACGGGCTCCATGACTGCTTTGACGGCTCTGACGAAGGGCCGCACTGTCGGGGTAGGTGTATGGGGGGATGGCGGTCAAAGGGGCACTGCAAGTAGGGGGGCTGCCCCATGAGATCCAGCCCTTGCCTCCTTCCCTCCCCCACCATGGTAAGAGTCACAAGGTCCCTGTTTGTCACCAGTTTCTGGCTGTACAGTGTGAGCCCCATGCTGATTTTGTTGAACAGCTTCAGCCGGTGCTGCTGCTCTCCCCGCTCTGGCAGCGCCGGGCTGGCCGGTAGCAGATCCAGAGATTAGCCAGAGCTGCTTGCAAGTGACATGCCCATCATTCCTGAGCCTGCAGGCCATTAAATAGCTGCATTGTCTCCTGGGTTTAAAAGCTTGGAGGGCTGTGTTCTGGTTCAGATAAGAGACACCAGTATGTTTTTTTCCTAATTTCCAGGAGCTTTGTCCCCCCTCCTGGCCTGTCCCCGGCTGCTAATCCTGCAGGAAAACTCTCCCTAAATCAGTGCACACTGGCTTGCTGGTGCGCAGATTAGTCGCTCAGAAACCTGTGTCCTGGGCTGACCCTGGAGCTGGGTCTCTGCAGACTCCAGGCAGCAGTGAACAGGACGAGCCTTTCTCCCTGGCCCTTCCTCTTCCCAGGGCTGAGAGGTCCTGCCTGTGGGGTCCTTGTCTGTTGCTGAAAAAACATTCTTACTAGTGTCCTGGGGAGCACGAGGGTCTCTGAGTGTCCTGCCCTGCTCCTGCCCCACAGGGCTGGCCCCAGAGCTGGGACCAAGCTCCCCTCTGCTGCCTGGGTTCTGCAGGAGGAGCCCAGAGCAGCTTTGGCAGCTATGCCTGAGCTGGCAATTAATATTTTGCTAATAGTTCTCATTACTTAAGTGGGATCTAATTTCTCACAGTAGGGCAGCACGTGACTGGTGTGCACGAGGCAAGGGCAGGCCCTGGTCAGGGCAGTTGCTGCTGGCAGGTTTGGGCACGTGGGGGACATAAGCCCTCTCAGGCGCTGGTGTTGGATACTGAGGTTCCCCTGCCTGTTGCGGGTGGGAGAGCTGGCAGAGCCCCCCTGGGTGCTATTTCCTCACAGCCGCAGGATGGGGGAGAGGAGCTGTCAGCCCTTTTTGTGCTCCAGCTGCTGGGGCATCGCCTGCTTCAGAGGTGTCCCTGCAGGACATGCCAGGAGCCAGGGGCCCTCTGCTGCCTTGTAGACATCCACAGGGGTAAAAATGCCATCAGAGGCTGCATGCTGCATTGTACCCTCCTGCCGACCTGGCACTCTTGGGGATTTTTCCTTCTTTTGGATGTGTGTTGTGCCTGCCAGAGCTGATAAACCTTGTAAACAACTCGGCTGGGCCCTGCCTGGCTTATTAAATGGTTCCACATGCATGGGGCAGGATTTTCGCAGTGTCTGAGCGCTGCTCCCCCTCCCAGCCCCAGCTGCAAAGGGGGACGTGGAAAGAGTCGGATGGTTTTGGTTTGCAAAGGCTCGTGGCTGGGCTGCTGCTCTTTCCCCTCTGCTGGCAGTTTTACTGAGACCCAGTTCAACACCTTCTGAGCACCCAAGTGACCAGGGAGGAGGGGAAAAAGATAAAACCCAACATAACCAACCCCCCCAGCAAAGGGCTGACAGGGCATCCCTCAGCAGGCCAAGGAGGCATCTGGCAGCTGCCTGCCCAAGTGCTCCTCCCTGCCTGCACCGCAGCGTCTCTGGGTGGAGGGTCCCAGGGCTCCCTGCAGTCCTGGTTAAAGGGAACTTGCTGCAGGGAGCATGTGGTGGATCAGCTCACCCCAAAGTGTCTCTGGGAGTCCTGTTTCCTCTGGAATACCCTGGAGCCAAGTTCTGTGCTGAGACTCAGACATAGCCAAAATGGGCTCCCAGTGGGAAGTTATCAAGTCAGCAGCTTCTGGGGACAGTTGTGGCTGCTCAGACCCTCTCATGGAGCAGCCACGTACCCGTTATGGACTCATTTAAGGGTCTTCCCTCCCCACTGGGGAGCAGGGGACAGCAGGGAGGCCCCCAGGAAAGACTGGTGGGGAGCCTGGGATCCCCTTCACCCAGCTCTGGGGCTTGGGTGTCCATCCTGTTCTTCACCACAGCGTCCCTGCTGGCACATCAGTGACACCTTCTCTCCTCCCCTGCCCTGTCTCCTCAGAGCAATTAGCCAACTGCACAGCCCTGGCTTGCCAGCACCACTGTGTGCCGACGCTGAGTGGACCAGCCTGCTACTGCAACAACTCCTTCCAGCTGGCTGAGGACAAGAGGAGCTGCAAAGGTCGGTTGGGGGTGGGCAGAGCCCACAGTGCCGGCAGCAGCTCCGGAGACTCAGGGCTTGGCAGGCCCTGACCTCTGGGGGGAACACAGGGCTGATGGGAAGGGCTCTGCTTCCCTGCTGCCATGGGGCTGGGACAGGGATGCAGTTCCTGAAAGCCCCAGTGAGGAATATCAGGAGTAAGTAAGGAAAAAGCTTTGCCTGTGCGGAGTCAGGGTCATCACTGGGCTTTACATGCTCCCAGTGTCAATGCCTCAGAGAGGATGTTGGAAAATAGGGTCAGCCAGGAGTGATCAGATCATTGTGATGCCTGGAAACAAGTCTGGAAGTGAGAGATTGCAGTGGCTCCATCTCCTTCATTTACTGAGCAGAGGTGAAAGGGGCCTTTATCAGCTCCTGCATGCACCTCTGGGGGCAAGAGCTCTCTGGTGAAGGCTGCTCTTTCATCTAGGAGAAGAAGAAAGAGCAGTGTGCAAGCCAGGTGTTTGGAAGCTGAAGATTAGAGAAATTCAGACTGAAAATTTAGGTGCAGATTTTGCAGAGTTGGGGGGAAGGGCACTGGATAATTAGGCCTTGAAAAGGCTCAGCAGCGAGGCAGGGATGGTCCTTTTGCTGCTGATGCTGGAGCAGAAAGCTGGGGGGGCAGCCTGCAGGTGTCAGGAGGTGACGTTGGCCAGGTATTCCTCTGGAGGCCATTGTGACCATCTCTTTGGCTTAGGGAGCCTATCTTGCCCTGCGGCTCTGCTTTAGAGAAAAGGAGAAACCTTCATCCCCTCTTAAGGCAGCTAAGGAGAGATGTTTGCCAGTCCAAACCTTGGGATTTTTGCCTTCTTTTCCAGACTTTGATGAATGCACAGTCTATGGGACCTGCAGCCAGACATGCACCAACACAGAGGGCTCCTACACGTGCAGCTGTGTTGAAGGATACCTCTTACAACCTGATAACAGATCCTGCAAAGCCAAGAATGGTGAGATCCTTGACAGGAGGAGAGTATTGCTGCTGGGCAGCTCTGCAAGCTGTGTCCCCCTGCCCTTTGTGTACCTCCACTTCTGGTTCCTCACCTCAGGGTGCTCTTCCCTGGGGATTGTCCTGCGCTCCCACCTCCTTGCTTGTGTTGATCTGCGTGTCATGGTCTTGTGTTTACTGGAGCAGAGGGGCTGGACTACAGGTTGATATGGGGTTTTAGCCATGAGCTTTGGGTGCTCTGCCATGACCACCCTTCTCCCCTCCTTTCCCTGCTAGAGCCTGTGGACCGCCCTCCCGTGCTGCTCATTGCCAACTCCCAGAACATCCTGGCCACCTACCTGAGTGGAGCCCCTGTGCCCAACATCACCCCCACCAGCGCCAAGCAGACCACAGCCATGGACTTCAACTACATTGAGGACACAGTGTGCTGGGTTCACGTGGGTGACAGTGCCTCCCAGACCATCCTTAAGTGTGCCAAGATCCCCAACCTGAAGGGCTTCGTGGAAGAGCGCTCCATCAACATCTCCCTCAGCCTACACCGTGAGTGCCAGCTCCCTGCTGCACCTGGCTCCTAGTCTTTGCTCTCAGAGTCCCCATCTCCTTTCAACAACAGCCTGAGCATCCCCAGACAGGGGTGTGTGAAAGGGCAAGACACCTGGCCTTCTGCACAAGTGTAGCTTTTGGCTTTCCTTTTCCTTCCCTCTTATTAGTTCTAACAAGTTTTGTGGTTTCTTTGTGTGAGTGTATGAGGGAAAATGATACAGCGAGGAGCGGAGATGGGCCTGTGTAGCAGGTTGGGAATGGCAGGTCTTGTTGTTTCCTCTTTTGTTTTTTGCCCCATGTTCCTCTTACCAAACCAGGCCTTGGTCCCAACAAAATCAGGACCAAAAGGGGCCTCTGTCAGGTGGCCACGTGAGTCACCAGCATGAGGGACAGGGGGTGGTTTCATTCCGCTTTGTCTCCCGGCCTGTAATGAGTGTGGTTAAAGCTCTGATTCCTGTTTGGGCTTGCTGGTCCCAGTTAAGCAGTCAACGGGAAGGAGAGTTATTTCCTGGGATTTTGGTGCTCTTTGACTCAGGCCCATGCCTGTGCCTGCCTTCCGAAGACCCTCTGTCTGGTGGGGGGTCCCAGCAGGAGTCATGGGCTTTCAGGCACCTTCCTTGTGTGCTCTCACTGCTGCAGAGCAGTGGGCTGGTGAGATCCCCCCAAGAAAAGGAGGTGGGTGGGTGGCCATACAGCCTGGATGTGGGAAACCACTCCTGTTGTTGTACTGCCACTGATTTTATCCTTTGAAACCACAGACCAAGTCAGTCAGGGTAGGATTGGGGGTATCTGGGGTTTGCAATGCATCTCCATCAGGTTTTGCAGCCCTTGGCTTCCCTGGCCTTGTCCTGCCACTGTCTTTTGCCTCTGAATTTAGGGGTGGTGCCTGATACAGGAGGGATCACCCGGAGACGCGGGTGGTGATATGTGATGAGCAATAGCTGACCTGGCAGATTAGATGAACATGTATAAACTGATCTTTGCACATGAGTAAAGGTCTCAGGTGGATCTTGGAGTTGAGTGTGTTCCTGTGCTGAGGGTGCCAATGTTGGCTGCCGAGGGGGAACTGGCTGAAGCCCTGGCTGAGGTGTGTGAGCTGGGGAGCTGCAGGCCCCTGGGGCTGGGGCTCAGCAGGCTCTGGCCATGGCGCCCTGCTGAGGGTGTGTGCAGCACGGTTAATTTAAGCTTGCACTGTGTATTTTTAGGGCAGTATGTATTTTTAGGGAGAGGCCTCACCCTTTGCTCTTGCAGGCGATAGCCCGAAATTAGGTAGGACAGGGCTCGTCTCTGCTTTCCACTTTCCCCCTCAATGGTTTAAGGAGGTCTTGTGTGCTCTTTCTGGCACGTCTCTTAAGGCTACCTCAGGCTGGGTTTTGTCTCCCTGTAGTTCCAGCAGAGGGGCAGACAGCAGCATCGTGTAAAGCTCTGGCTGTGCACTTCTCCTTCTCATCAGATTCAGTTTTAATGTAATTTCCTTCAGCAGGGAGTTGCTGCAGTGGCTGTGGTTTGTGGCTGGCACGTGAGCCACAAGCTGTGGGTTGGTCCAGGGGAAGCGGGATCGCTGGGATTCAGGTGGGGAGTTTCAGGGCGTTCCTGAAGTCAGCCTGGTGCCTTCTGCAGCCGGGTCCCTGCACTAGAAGGGTCCTGAGCTTCCCGGGGTGCCTTCACTCAGTTGTGGATGGTGTGAGGCTGAGGGTGCAGCAGCCCCAGGGACTGGTCACCTGGCTTGTGGGCCGAGGTGGCTACCGCAGCAGCTGTGGTGCCGTGTTGGGGCAGGG